TCATATATTAATTCATAAATCATACTTAATTATTACAAAATCCTTTCAAGTTTGCTTCTCTGATATCTAAGCCACAGAGGTTTCCATGTTATAAGTAATATACTTCTATAACAAAGTTTCTTACTTATATTTCTTATACGGCAGTTTACTTTACTTTTTCTTTGTCCCATATTGTCCCATTGTCCCATTTGCCTTCGAAACTCCACATGAGAACTGTATTATATATTACTCCAGTTCAGCTAGATTGGGCGCATCTTAAAGCAGCTGCAAAAAAATGTATAAATATCATATATACATTAAAAAAAAAAATTAAAAATTATTTAGAGGTAGCTCTCCTTAAACAAATGAAATTATCCTTAGTCTCTAAGCAAGAAATACTCTAAATATATTTCCAATATAAGCGTTATATATTCCTCAGTTCAACATGCAACAGCTCTCATAACAAACCGATAATACCCGCACTTTCAATAGGTCAGGGTATAACGTGAAAGGATTGCGGCAGGCAGTCAGCGCAGGACATTCGGGCAGCCTGGGCTGGGCGGTAAGTCGTGTGCGACGCAGCTGCACGGCAAATAACGAAAATGCATTTTAAAACTGGCCAAAAGCAAACGAGCCAAAAAGGCGAAGGGCGACAGGCAACAACTTGGCAGTTCTCAGGCCACTCGTCGACTTCTCTTGCATTCTCTGCTTCACTTGCGCCCCCTCTTCCTCTCCCTCTCCCTCGTTCTCGCTGGCCCTGGGTATTTAAGTAATGATTTTGCAAAATATGCGCAAAAGTGCCAACAGCAACACCGCAATATGCTGCCCCTAAATGGACTGTAACCGGAAGTGCGAATAGCGTGCAGCTGGTCCACCCAGAGCTGGACAGGACATAGAGTGGACCCTGTTGCAGGCGAGTTGCCGAGCTGCTTAATATAGTGTGACCAAATATGCAGGCAGACGTGGCACGCTTTAAGCCAGTTTTAAAGCCTTAAGCCTTTTGGCTAATAAACACACACATAGAACTATTGGCCACAGGGTGACTCGAGTCGAATATGGGAACAGAGCGCCGAGCCGAATGTGCTTTGTCGAGGGCCAGCTCCGGCGGAAACGGATATTGTAACAAGCATGTAAGGCGACATGCTTGACTGCCCCCAAAGCCTACCCCAGTTGGCAGGCATCCTTTGCGGCCCATCATCGATTGCCTGTTGTTGTCTTATCAACACACGCGCTGAAAATGAAACGAAAATATTGCAAATGTCCGCTTGTCATAGGCGCCCACTCTTAGTTGTGTGTTGTTTGTTGTGTTTGCATGCGAACGCCACGCCACGCCATGCCACGCCCCACACCGGCAGCCTCCGCCTCCTGCTCTTCTAAAAGACAAAAGCAATAAAATCGAAATACAATTGCACTCATATACATTTTTTGTTGTTGTTTTGTTTTCTGTTTCATGCTTTGGGTAGCCGAGGGGCTAAGGGGCTAAGGGGCTAAAGGGGCTAAAGGGGCTAAAGGGGCTCGATGTGGCATTCAGCGTGAGAATTTTACGATTGCTGCAAACCGAAAACCGAAAACTGAAAACTGCAAACGGAGGCTCATATTCACGTGCTGTAAGTGTAACTGTATATGCGTGTACATGTGTGTGTGTGCGTGTGTGTGAGTGTGTGGGTAACTGCTGGTTGTGCAGTTTTGTTGATTTTCATGGCATATTTTACAGTGTATGTAAATATGCACACACAAATACACACATACATACATACAGAAAGAGAGAGGGAGAGAGAGAGCAACAGAGAGCGAGTGCAAGAAATAAAATTGAAATGAAATATGCAAACATGAAAAATATGCGCCAGCCCGAAATATGCTACGAAAAAATTGCCAACACACACACATGCACACTAAAAGGTATATACAGTTGCAGGCGGCCATTGCAAATACACACGCATACGCCCACACACACACGCACACAAATAAACGCCCACTGGCTGCGATTTATTGCATTATCAATAAAGTGAATAAATTTTGAGGTTATTGTGGCGTGATAACGGCCATTTTTCGTTTTTGTTGTGCC